GATGGGGTCTGGCGCTCTGGCATCCCCTTAGGTGAGGGCTGCTGTGGGACCACCAGAGCAGGTTGGAGGGGAACAGGGTCTTCTGCCTCGGGGCTGCTGCCTCTGAAGGCATGACGCCTGTCTTCACGGGGGTGCGGCTCTGATGGAAGATCCGGAATTTCGAGTTGAATATCAGTATAGGCAACAGCCCAGGGAGGGTCTATTCTGATGGCCACCGTCATGCCATATCTGCGTCGTTTGTTGACCCAGTAGAGCAGTGGACTATAACTGAAGGTGGCAGCTTTCATCACCTCCACCCACTGCTGGGCACGCTGTCTCCTCCGCAGGTTCTTCCTCCAGTGGAGTAAGAGCATGCAGCCACCAGTTATCACGGTGCAGAGCCCCAAAAACCCGAAGTACCATGGGACCCATGCTGAGGCAGTAAAAAAAAAAAAAAGAAAAGAAAAGAGACAAGCTGACTGACAGCTCTAACTTGGGACCTGAACTGTTTCTCATTGCTCTCCTGGATTTGGCTCATTCTTCCTCTCATTCCTTCCCACCCTTCTCAAAGACATGCCTAATAATTTCCTGATTCAGTCAAAGCTATATTTGCAGGGCACATAAGAGACCCCATTAGCCTTTTTCAGATAAGGAACACTAGGTGTAGAGTGGCCAGACCTGCCCAGACTCAAGACAGGCCTTCTGGCTCCCAGTCCAGGACCCATGCAGTCATTCAGACCGAGAAGCCTCACTAAGGGCAAGGACCTCAATTGTATCTTTTCTGCTTGGGCAGAACATGGTCTCTGCCTTCAAGGAGTCCTTAGTTTCCTAGAGGAGTCTGTCTCTTAACTAAATAGCATTCCATTCAGGCAGCCACCACCCCATCCATGCAAAGGGTCTTCCCTGAAAGTTTGTCGCTCACACTCAAAAGGTCTGGGTGTACTTACGGCCAGGGAGGCCCAGGTCCTCCTTTCGTGAATCCATAAAGTTCACTCTGGTTACCAGGACTACAGCTCTGCAAAGAGTGAACTCACCCACTACTCTGCCCACCAATGGGAGTCCCCAGAAGGTCCCAGTCCCATTGTTCTCTAAAGATGAGATCACCGGGTTCTGAGCCTCAGGAATTCTTGGGCTGGTGCTTGTAGAGTGGTTGGCAGTTGATGGAATAAGGGACTCCATCTTATGACATCTCATGAGCATGTTGTCTTCCATGAAAGACTGGTCCACCATAGAATTGTCTGTTCCCAACTTTGTGTGGTGAACTCACAGGAAGCCCCCAGGAAAGGGTCCTTACTCCCTCAGGAGCTTCTACTTGTGTTTTCAGTTGTTAGGGAGCCATTTTCCAGTGGGGAGTGGGGCAGGGAGGACAGTGTGCACTGGACATCCCTACCCTCGAGAAGTGTCTTACTTAGTTGTCAGGGAACACAATGGCTTAGAAGAACCATGTGGTCCAAACCTCCTCCTTTGGCTCCTACCATCTCTGTTTTGTTTCTTCAACAAGTGTTTTTTGGGCATTATTAGGTCCTGTGGGATCTCCCCTGTATGTGATCTGCTTCTCTTTCCAGCTCCGTCTCCCTCCCCACCCGTCATATACCTTTCAGCCCTGGGCATGCCAGATTCCCACAGACCCTGCTTATTCCCCTCTAAACTTTGGCTCAGACTGCTGCTTCACTCAGGAGTGTCGCTCACCACATTTCCACCACCAAACACCTCCTTATCCTCCCAGGTGGTCAGCTCCCCAACTCTGATACAAATAGTTCTTTCAGTTGATTCCCCAATTTCTAGAACTCTGAAGCAGATGAATTTGAAACAAATTGGTCCCAGGGACAGGAATCAAATTGATTTCAACAACTATAAATTTGTATAAAGTGGAAAATATAGTGTTCTACAGGTTTAATATATTATTTTTAGAAATCTGCTCTATTTGAACTGGTATAAAAGTGATGCCCTTTTAAATAATACCACTCACCTACCATGAACAGCTAAAGTTCAGATAAGTATAAATTAAACTGAAAAAATTAACCTGATGCTCTGCCACTGAGGCTTATTTTAAAATCAACATATTTTCCATCCCCTTCTCCCCATCCCTAACCTGGAACAGGATTACGTTTTGTCCCCACTCAGCTCACAACTACCAGCCCAATTAGAACAAGAGAACTGGATAAAAATTATGTTCAGAAAGTGGGGTTTTTAAATGTTATACATAAATGTATTTATTTTTATCAGTGAGCAGATACTTTACACTTCATTGGCTGCTTATTCCAAGACTTGTAAAGTGTTTTTAAACTTTGAATGACTGGTTGATTGATTCATTGGTTATAAAGATTTTCTTTGAAACCAACAATCTCATTATTTTTATTATTTGGAGCTGTTATTTATACTTTGCACCTTGAGTAAATGTGTGAATGGTGACATAGACCATTCAATCCCTTTGCCCTGTTTTTCCCTTATTATAAGATCATAAGAAGAATTATCAGAAGCCTCAAACATTGTCTGTATTTCTAGAGCCATGAAAAATTTAATAAAATGGAAAAGGAGTTAATTTTAAAATTTGTTATTACATTTATACAAAAAATGTGAGAAATCTATTAACAGCACTGAGTGAAGTTTTACCAAAGACCCACAATAAAACCTTAATAAATGGAAAGGCAAATTCAAGAAGATAAAAAGTACAGTAATACTGAAGACTATACCTACTAAATTTATATGTAAATGACTACAATTCTAATCAAATTCACCATAAAATTTTATTTTTTATTCTAGGTTATATTAAAAATAGGGCATATTATATATTCTTAAAGGATGCATAAACATGAGACTGTGACTAAAACCTAGTTGTAGACATTTAGCATGGTAGATACTAATGGTAATAGCAGAGCTACTGACATAATGTGGTAAGGATGTAAGAAGAATGAGATAGATAAATAGAGCAGAAAGACTCCAGAAAAGTCTTTAAAGTGTATATTCAAAGTATGACATAGCAATTTTAAACTGTAGAAAAACAATATGTTGTTAAACTATTATTATTTTTATATTCAGTAGAAGATTTTTGTTAAAATGCACAAATACTAGTAAATTATCAAGAAGTTAAAATGATCCATCCTTTCACAGATGATCACTCCTTAAATTTTTTAAAACTTCTTTCCAAGTTTTTTTCATCAATGTCTGTTGAGATTTAGGTGTTCTGGTCCATCCTACTGTGACCCCAGGGTCAGGAATCACCAGAAACAGGGTGTGGGAGCTGAGGTCCTAAGTCTACCCCCCAAACATGCCCTGGAGCCCCCTGGTGTTCCCTCATTGGGATTCAACAGCATCTCTGCTCTTAATAGCACAACCTGATCTTTAGAAGAGAGAAATGGAGCAAGATCACATTGCAGTAATTTCAGAAAAACTATATGCATGGATACTATGTGGTAAGAAATCTATAAAAGGTATCAATATGAGAAAAGTGTCCAATGTAAGAATTTTTCACGTTAATTTCTGCCTTGTTTGAAAGTAGATTATAACAAAGGTAGGAGTGGAGTTTTCATATTTTTCACTTAACATTTTGTCCCTCTACTTTTTGAATGTTCTCAAACATCCAACTTGTATTAACAGAATAGATGTAAAATAATTGTCAATAATTACTTTTTCCTTTGCTGATTGTGGGAAATACTAGCTTCTCATTCTCTGTAGATGCAGGAAGCAGGTATTATCTCGTTTTAACTGTCTATTCCTCTTATTCGGGATTTTTGGCTTTCTTTGCAGAATGCTGACATATAAAGTTTTCAGGGCATATGCTGAGCTTGTTTCGTCCCAGCCAGGAGTCCTGAGTGTAGAGAGAGCTGCTTCCTCTTTCCCCATATACAAGATTTGTACAATGATTTCTCATAGACCCCTAATAGCTGATGTTTCCTTATAGATTTAAATATCACTAGATTTTTTCAGATTGTCTCAGGATACCAATGAAGGCATACAATTATCATGTCTGACAGATCATCCTATCTCTGAAAACTTCCAGTGCTCAGGTGTAAAATGGGAAAATGACAGTCACAGAAAATATCCATATAATAGTTGCACATCTCTCCAGGCATTTAACTCTCTCCTGCCTTCATTTTGAACCATTCAATTGTTGGAAATCTGTACAGTCAAGTAAACAATGACTGTACTGTTGGTCTGCCATCCACCCTGTATTTTCAGAGTATAATTGTTAATACTGTGCAGGGATCAATGGAAGAGTAGAATCCAGGAGAAACCCTGGGAAACTCTAGAAGTGCAATAGGGAGAGGAGGCTCAGACTGAGTACCCAGCTTAGCAGCCACTGTGGCTGCCCATATGTGAAGGAGGCCTGGAGGTGTTTCTCGTGAGGGTTATTCTGGCAACTATAACATTGTGCCCTCTCCATAGGCATAGTAAGAAGTGGACACATCTTCTCTCTCTAAGAAAAATATTGTCAAGATTGAAATGAAAGTGTTTTGTATTTTTACTGGCCTCAAATTTGTTCTTCCTGCCTAAATCCCTTTGAGCAGTTGTTCAGACATATAACAGATGCTCTAAACCTTGATTTGGTTTCTGTTGGTACCATTATAAGCTTAATCTGAGACTATCTTGGAACCACACTTTACAATGTATGTCAACACTCTCATCTTTTGCTCTGGAAATTGATATTTCAGGTTGCTCCAATTGCCCAAGTCCAACTGCAAAAAAAAAAAAAAAAAAAAAAAAAAATCCCATGAACAAATGATACACAAAGAAGCTACAAAAAAGAATGACTTAATTTTCTCCTGGAGACTAAAGTGGCAAGGGGCAACTCACAAGGCCAGAGGGAAGATAGGATGAGAAAGTGACAATCCTGGGAGCTGAGGCCTCAGGTCAGTGCAGGAGGGTATGGATGTTCTAGTGTCTCAAAAAAGTGGAGGGTCAGGTGATTTTCTGGGTTTTTCAAGATCTGCTGCTATTATGAGTGGTTTTGGGGTTTCCTGCACCACATGAGCTGAGCAGATTGGATATATGTATTAACTCTGTGAAAAGACTCCCTGACACACACTGTTATTCTTGTTTGGTGGGAGGAATGGTTCTGTTACCTACTCACCCTTTCCCTCTGCAATTTCACACTGTAAACTATTGCTTTGGACCTATGAAGACATGGCTGCTGCATCCTGTCATCATGTCTGTCTGCCTGTGATTTTCTCTTGAGTCAGAATTCAGGTAAGAATCCTGACCTTAATTTTTCAATATCACAACCAAGAGACTCAGAGGCTTTCAGTAACATTATTCAATATGTCATATATACAAGTACTAGAGTATATTTCTGTTTCTTTTTAAAGCAATCGGGATATCTCCAAGCAGATTATCACTCAGAAGAGTCACATTTCAACCTTAATCTGGGTACCTCTAGGAAGAAACTGGACTGCAATTTCTGGAAGGTTCAATACAGAAAAATCTCTAGGAATCAGCTTCTATTCTCCCTTATCCATTGAATTTCATGAATGTTTGTTGTGTGTAAGGGTGGCCTCAAATTAATGTTATATTTAATACTCAATGATAGCATCTAATAGCCACTGAGGACTTGCTACTTCTCAGACAAAGCTCGAGAGGTTTCCTTATGTTGTTTCATTTAACTCTCTCCACAGTCCTGTGAAGTGGGTATTACAATCATTTCCATCTGGAGAAGAAGGGCAGTGGAAAAAGCATTAAATGATTCATTCAAAACTTTTTTCTACATAGTAATGAATAGATATGTGATTGCTTGGTGTTATTCATATATATATTTAGTGAGATTTGCATAATTGCCTTTATATTATTTTATTATGGTTAAATAATTGGGACCAATAATGCAGATCTTTAGATAATCTATATGAACATTATTTTTTAGGACAAGAGACAATTAATGCCCTCCTTTATCACTTAACTATATAGAATATTAAATAAGATATTTAAGATCTGGGGCCTCAGTTTTCATAAGAGTATGGTGCTTACATAAGTATTTTTAGAGGTGGTAAAGTGCTTACATTATCATATTATACAAGGATAATGCATAAAATTCACAGATATTAGTACTCAACACATCATGATTCTTCAATGATATTATCTATTCTTAGTATTACTGTTATCATCTATCAAGATAAAATTACTTCTTAAATATATTATTTAGTTGTAGATGGACACAATACTTTTATTTATTTTTATGTGGTGCTGAGGATCTAACTCAGTGCCCCACGTGTGCAAGGCGCATGCTCTACTACAGAGCCACAAACCCAGCCTCAAGATAAAATTACTTTTTGAAATTTTTTTTCAACAAAACCATAGTTTCTTGTTAAGGAAAACATGCAAAATTAAGAACACCGTGTGGCAGAACGCATAGTAATGTATTTCCTTGGGAATTTTCAAATTTCCTTGATCATTCTTCAAATTTTGAACAATTATATTCCCATTTAAAAAAAAATCCTTCTATCAAAACAAATATAAATTTTAAAAAGTTATTATATACTCCATAAACACTTCTTTATACTGTACTGTGAACATTTTCTACTTTTGCTGCTAAATTCATAATACACTGATTTCAGAGGCTGTGTGGTATTCCATCCCTGGAAAGTGCTGGGGCTCTGTGTCTCTTTCCCCATTATTTGCCCAATATTTTGAGTCCTGCAAGTCTGCCAGAGAGTTCTCTAAGATCTAGCCCAGGCATCTCACTGCAGACACCTCTCCACTGCTCTCTGGGGCTCTCTGGTACACTAGATAAAACAATTTTGGAGTTTTCTCACATATACTGTCAAAGAGAGGGTTATTTTTAAGTATTGCTCATTTTTACTTGTAGCAATAAGGCTTTACAATTAATAACATATCTAACATGTACTGAGGACTGGCTAATGGTGTTTTAAATGATTCTTTTGCTGCCATTTTCCGTGTCACCAAATCCTGAGAAGTGGTATTATAGTGATCTCCCTGTGACAGGTGAGAAGAGTAGGACAAAGATTACTTAACTCCAATCATAACTCTGGTAACCATGTGAGCTTGGATAAGTAACACATGCTCACTGAAGATATCTGAGTAAATGTGCTATGAAATGATGATAATAAAAGCATTCATTATTTTCTTTTAAGCATTTTCATAATACTTATAATATGTCTGGATCATTGCATATATTTTACTTTAGATGGCCTTTACAGGTAGTTTCCTGGTCTCTTCTCTGAGTAAGCCTTATGTTCAAAAACATATCAGGTCCTTAAAAGAATTAGGTAAATATCATAATTAATGACCTATAATAATAAGCACCCCTGTTAACTACTAACCCTCTCTGATGTAAACTAAATTATACAAAATTTTTGTTTCTCAGTTTCTACATCTGTAATAGCCTAAATATCTTTCAGATGTATGTAATAGGGTAAAGTATAAAGAAGAAATAACCCATTCACCCTGTTAAGAAATAAAACCCATCTTTAAACTTTAATGCTTTTTTAAAATTTTATTTCTTCCATCAATACAGAAATTTCCATATTTGAGAGTTAATATACACATATTCATACTTTATATGTTATCTTATGTTGGATTATAAACATTTTCACTTTTATTATAAATGCTCAAATGTCATTTTTAAGTTCCCATGTTTCTATCATTTGAATACAACACAAATTACTTGCCTCTTTCATTCATCACTGAACTGTGTCACTATTTTTTATAGGGATCATATTAAAATCTGCTAATTTTTTTTTTCATAAGGCCAACTCCTCTGGAGATACTACATTATTTACCAAGGCACACTGATCTTCTGTCCCTTACACGAGGATATCCATGCAGAAACTTTATCAAAGGTCTTTGAAAAAAATTAATTCACATTTTTCATCCATTTCTCTTGGTAAATACCCATCTTCCTACATTTAGTGTGTTTCTCCCAGATGCTTATTTTTATTCGACATGCTTAAAAACATAGGGAACTAAGAAAGTTAAAGGTCTACCCTTAATAATTGGTCATGGTCAGAAACAGCCTAGATAAGGATGTGAGTTAAAGAAATATTAGTGAACCAATGAGGGGTGCATTGCACAGGGGTTGTCTTGATTGTGTGTGACAACAATGGCACACCATGAGTAACTTTCTACCTGCACCTTGCACTTAGCAAACATCTCTGGATGCTGGCATGATGAACATTGGCAAAGCCCGTGCCTCTCAGTCCAAAGACAGGGATAGAATTGGTTGGGAAACAGTCAAGTGAAGATTTGGAAGCACAGTGCCTGGGTCCAGCTGTGAACTCAAGTGTAGGCATGGCCCATGAAAGCTTCTGGGCAGTCCAGGAGAGCTCAGAGAAGGCAGCCTGAGACTGCAAGCCCAGATGTGGAACTGGTTGTGGTTGCCTGTTTAGGAAGGGATGTGGGAGTACTCAAGCCCAAGGAGGGGATTCCCCACTGCACAGTAGTACATGGCTGCATCTTCTTTTTCTATGGAATGTGTGGTAAGGACTGAAGACAGAGTTCAAAAATACGTTTGCACCTCAACAGTTCGAGAATACTTTTTCGCCTCAATTTTGTTTTTCTTCCCATTCAAGGGACCTCGAGCTGGGGATTTTGTTTAGGTAACTTAAATCAGATGCTCCAAGGTCTGATTTGGCTTCTGCCAGTACCAATAAATGGCTTCATTTTCAGAATATGTGTTGAATATGTACTTGAAATTTATGTTAACACTTTTCTTTATTTCTGCAGAAACAGATACATCATACTGCTCCATTTCTGACCATCCAAGTCCAACTGTGAGGTAAAAAGGAGAATATGAGAAGTAAACATGAAAGAATCACTACAGTCACTCATCAAGAAAAAATGAATTGGGCAGAGTGACTCACCAGCCCAGAAGGAGAAGAAGGTTACAACTTGCAGTAGTGACATGTTGTCTGCCAGCTGTGTACTCAAGAAGTGGGGACCTGGTGTCTGGATGTCTCAGGTCAGTGACAGGAGGGTGTGACCTGAACTTGGGTGAGGAAAGGAATTAGTGGGTTGGGTGATTCTTGGGCCCTTCAGTACTGGCTTCAGACTGAACATTGTGCCCAGCAGGCTTGCCCTGTACATATTGAAATAGGGCTGATGGTCATAGGGCTCTTTGCATGAATGTGAGAACAGGAAGGTGCCCTAGCTTCAAGGGAAGTGCCCAGGAGATATTTTATGAACTCCTTTTCTCTACATCCCATTTTTGCATATTACATATTTAATAAATATTAATTTTAATTGTATCAAATATTCAATAAACATTTATTTAGCTTTAAAAAAATGTTCTCCACCTTTATAGCCACCACAATAATCAGTATAGACACTTGTAGTTGCATTATATAGATGAGGATACAGACTGCTGAATGGACTTCACAAACTCACATAGTTGAAAAGCAGAGCATGCTGGCAAATATACTCATGAAGAAACTCAGAGAAACAAAATGAAGATAAAAATGACAACATCCATGATCAGATCATGAAGGACAACAGCTATAATCATTATGGTTTTTTAATTTCCAGATTTTTTTATTTGCAGATACATTGATAGGAATATGTTTCCATGAACTACAAATATATTTATATGTACAGAATTTTGATTTCTTTATTCAGTTCATCAAGTATTCTGAAAAACTTCCCATAGCACTGAGGCATTTTTTGATGTCTACAACTATTAATGGTCTATGTTTATCATTTAGGACCTGTCTGTCTTGTGAAAATTTCCTCATCCCTTTAAGCCTCACATACTTCCTCTGAAAATGGCTGCAATAATTATACATATATCGAAATTTTATGCAAATTTAATAAAGCATATTGATGGTTTCTGAGATATAGTAAATTTCTATTGTTTATAATTATCACTATTACATTTTAAAATTTAACCTCCTCTTCCTTTCAACCATTTCATTTTCTCTCAGCTTTCACCTGTTGAAAATTTTGGTGATTAATTTGAAGTTGTAACCTGGGTAAATCAAGGAAAATCACTAAATATCGTTAACATATTTTTCCACTTTGGGGAGCTTCTCTTTACTCTGTTCTTTCCTAAACCAACTTCATCATGGTTTCCATATGGTTTCCTACATAATCTAAGTGCATCAGGGCTCCTGTAGCCCCAGACAGTGATCATAAGTGACACTGTGTCACCCCTGTCAGGTCCCACATTCAGCAGGTATGAATACAGGTCCCACAGCTCCTACAGAGGAGAAAGGAGAACCCCTCTGGCTCAGATAGCTGCATCTTCCTTCTGAGGCCCTGTTTTCCCTCTTTTCCAATAAATATCATTTCTGAGGTGCTCAACACTGGAAGCCCTAGGCCAGAAGTCCCATGGGGTACCATTAGAAGGGCTGGCTGAACATTCACACAGGTATTTGTCTCCAGTAGAGAAAGTAGAAAAGAAGTGGAGGCTGTTGCCTGAGTCAGTCTGTGGGCCCTGGGTGCTGTTAAGACTTGGGCTGCCCTTGCCACCCTGGAACCCACTAGGAGTCGGGTATCATCCTTTTAGTCATCTTTCTGCTACTCACTGTCCTCAGCAGCATCCAGCACTTTGCTCTGTGTCATCTGGGATTTGGACTCCCCCTCTGAATCTGCTGGTGCACTAACAGACCTGAACTCATCACTGTTGACTCCACACCAAGCCCTTGGGGTGCAAAGCTTCCCCCTGCAGCTTGTCATCCAAATCTTATTCAATATGTTCCCTGACACTCTCAGTACCTCTGTAACCTATTAGAAACCCTGAAAGGCATTTAGATCTCCTCTATAAACACTTGTGCAGAAAATAGTGCTGGGTTGGGCTCATATTTGTTTATACCTGCCTCTGTTGGTGAAGTTCTACCCTGGCAGTATTGGAGGAGCTCAACATCATCTGAAACTCTCAGATTCTCCCCAGGTCTATCTTGAGTTCTGTTAGTGTTTCTACCTCTTCTGGGCTAGGACACTCAGGTTATGCGGAACAGGAATGGCCTTCACACAATTCTTTGCCTCTCTTAACTCTTCCTATAATCTCACAGAAATTCCCAGCAGGAAATGCCACCCTTTCCTCTGGGTGAATGCTGATTTCATACCCTGAGTTTTCCTTATATAATACCTCTTACAAAATTCTCATCTTAGTTTCCAAGCTTGTCTTCTGACTTATAAATGCAGATTCATCATTAGAAGATAGCATTTGCTTTGGGCTGAGGATGTGGCTCAAGCGGTAGCGCACTCGGCTGGCATGCTTGGGGTCCTGGGTTTGATCCTCAGCACCACATAAAAATAAAATAAAGACGTTGTGTCCACCGAAAACTAAAAAATAAATATTAAAAAATTCTCTCTCTTTCTCAAAAAAAAAAAAAAAAGAAAGAAAATAGCATTTGCTTTAAACTTATCTGGTCTTGAAGCCTACTCTCTTACAATAAACTCAAAAGTAAGTTTGTTTTAGTCACATCTACAATCTCCTTCCATGGGTTTTAAATCTCAGGGTTTAGCTGGGGATGTGGCTCAGTGATGGAGCATATTTGCCTGGCATATGTGAGGCCCGGGGTTCATTCTCCAGCACAATCAATCAATCAATCAATCATTATCTCATTGTTCAGTTTTAATAAAGAAAGTGCAATAGGAGACAAAATGTAAAGGAGAGAATGAAAATATGGTCAATATCTATTTCTAAGACTTGATCCTCATTACTCATTTTGATCACTTGCTTGAGTCCTGGCTTTGTGGTTTTAATATTTCTCCATGTAGCCCACCCATGACATTTTATGCTAAACCAAATTCATGAACTTAACTGATAAGATAAGTGGCTTTCATAGTCTTTTCCTCTCTGGCATGGAAAAGGGTCTTGGGGCAGAATATTCAGGACTGGATCTCTTCCTGATGTGTGCCCAAAGTGAAACTCAGCCATGATTTCCTGGGCAACTACTCCGTCTGTCCTAGCTGGGCTGGGCTTGGGTAGGCAGTAAATCTGGACAAGTCACATTTACTCTTAAACTCCACAGTATGTTCTTGTGATGTTAGTAACCTATGAAGATATTTGAAATGGCCCAATTGTGCAAACTGAAACACAGTGACCACCTCTAATTAGTAGTTATTTTTTCTAGGAATAATTCTATTTTCAGGGGATTTATGATGATTCCCTGAGATTCGGAACACATTTAAAACATCTAACACACACTATGAGGCACCAATGGGAGCGCTGTTCCTTCCCAGCACTTTTATCCTGAGTTTTTCATCATTACTAGAAATCTCAGGGAAATGGATTAGTGGTATTTGCCTTCTCTCTGAGATGGTCAGGCAGTTTCAACATACTCATTGTCTACATATGAAACCAACTCAGCAGGCAATTATGCAAAACCAGACATTAGGGGCACAGTTACCAGCATCTGAGGGTGCAGTTGATAGTCATCAGACTCTCTTTCCTGTTTCCTCTATAGGAAGGCCTCAACCTAAGGAGGACAGGAAGTGCTGCAGGCTGGGGCTGAGGCCTAGCAGGGCTCAGGGCTGAAGGAGGCAGCTCCATGTTGGGGAGCAGGTAGTCACAGACATATTGAGGGGTGGGTATGCTCATTATTTTAGCTCTAATGACATAGTTTCAGAGGCTATAATATTAGGTCATAATGTCTTACTTTTCTGTGAATTTTATTTTGAATACCAAAAGGAAGCAGACAGAATATATACTTCATGAATGGAATTATTTGCTTATAACCGACCTTAAATAAAAATTTCTTTTCTCCCCAAGTAAATATCAAATCCTCAAAAACACTGTTTGGAGTTTGTCAGTACCAAAATGTGTATGAAAAATTATGCCTGGATAACAGGCAGTGAAATATATGCTTCCTTTCTGTTACTGAAATAATATTTTCACTTGTTTTCATTGTATTTATTCAATTTCAACAATAATATTTCCAACAAAACAAAAATTATCAAGAGAAAAGCATTCATTTTATGAATATCCATTAATCAATCTGAGAAATAGGAAAAAAATCATATTTCTGGAGCGACAAGCAGATGAACGTTGTAGCTATAACATCTTGCCTTTTACACTGTGTGCCAAAGGATAAGACTGAGGAGGTGGGATACTGAAGCAAAGTAGTCGACATACCAGGATGTAGGGGAAGGAGTCCTAGAGTGTAAGAAGTGAAAATAGGTATCTCAGACCCCTCCGCCCAGATCCATTCTTTCTATAAGACTTTTCTATAGGACACCAAAATAATCAGTCCATTTACATTCTAGGTTTTAGGGTGCTTTCTTTTTATAATTGATGTTTTATCAACATTATTTAATGGATATCAGGGAAAAGTTGGATTAAGTTAAAAAGTCTGCCATGACCTGAAGGCACCTGTGGACTTCTCCAGGTGAGGCCATCACTGGTCATTGTGTACACCAAACCCTCACAACAAAGGTCAAACCCACCCATGACTCTCACATAGGGTTCTGCTCTGGACTCACATTGGCTCCAGCATCTGGTGAATCCTTTTTGGTGTGAATGTGGGAAGCACTTATTCCCTCCTTCCTCCCTGGGAGGGGAGGACGTTGCCATGGCACTCCCAACAGGGCTTTTTAGAGAAAGTTTACACAGATATTGTCCCCCCAAATTCTCTAAGCTCCTCTTACATTCAGTATTGACATAGCTCATGAGCCAATGGTTGGGGTCAACAATGTTTTTTCCATCACTTAGCATGTCCTTGGGAAATGTATTTAGTCCAGGTTTTCTCAACCTCTGCATTGTTGACATTTAAGGCCATATAGTCTTTGGTCATGGTAGAAGAGAGGGAAGCAGTCTTATGAACTGTAGGATATTTAGTAGCATCTGTGGCCTCTACCAGCCACATACCAGTAGTGTTCCCCCCACACTTCTGTGACTACCAAAAATATCCTCAGACATTGCCAATGCACCCTGGAGAGGGGATTGCCCTCAGGTGAAAACTAGTGCTGTTTTAAGAAACACATAAAACTGATTATTATTATTTTTTAATTTAGCTCTCA